GAACAAAGTACGGTCGAGGCCGCGCGGCGACTCCACGCATAGCAGGGACAGCACCAGCACCCCCAGCGGCAGTACCACCGTCAACAGCACCTCCAGCTCCAGTACCTCCAGCAGCAAAGGTTGATCTGATGCGCCGCGTACCGAACCGCAAACGGCCACAGAAAATGGGGGGCAGCCGCATGCATCATGGACGTACGAGCGACGTAAATGACCATGCCAATGCGGCGCTCAGCAATCCCATTTTGCTGTGGAGAGTCCGGAAGCGTGAAGGTCTGGCGGATGCCTCGCGCACGACAGTAGGCTCGCAGAAGGCCAGAGGAGAACTCTCCGCCTCGGTCAGAGTGCAGACGCAGAACAGGAAAGTCCGAGCCGAAGCTCCTCCTAAGCTGGAGACGAGCTGCGCGGATCCAGTCGATCAGCACCTCAGCGACATCACCCTTGCTGCGCAAGGGGAAGACTGTGGTGTAACGCGAGTAGTCATCAACCACCAGCAGGAAGTAGCGCTCGTGACCCTGTCCACGGACGCGGGCCGGGCCCCACACGTCCATGTGAAGCGTCTGCAGCGGGGCCTCTGTCGGGGGAAACTGAGAGGGGTGAGGGGCAGCTCGGAGCCGCCCCTCGACACAGGGGACACAAGAAGGACCAGGCCCCGGAGGAAGGGGAGGGAGGGACCGGGGAAGACCAGAGACAAGGACACGGGAAGCCATGCCTCGGAGACGAGGCAGGGAGGGGTGACCAAGGCGGTGGTGCCACAGGAGAGTCTCGTGAGACAGGAGGCGACACGAGCAGGGGGCAGACTCAGGACCAGACCTGGACGCTGCAGCAAACACCTGACCCGACGCAGCTACCTGACCAGACGCAGTGACTGGAGGAGACTCAGTGGTCAGTGTGTACAGGCTCGACCCCGGCCGATGTGTAAACGTGGCCAGGTGTCGGCCTGTCCGAGCGTCCGTGCAGTGGGTCACCCGCTGACTTGCAGGAGTGAACTGGTGAACCTCCGTATCCTGCAGGTTAGCACCACTCACCAAGTTTGTAGAGAACGAGGGGAGGTAAAGACCAGACAAGGTGCCAGAGGGGGCAGCTGGACACGGGAGGACAGTGGAGATGTGAGAGAGGACAGGACCCCCAGAGGGGTCTGCCAGGGAGACTGCAACTGGCCGACCAAGCGGCGTGAGTGTGGTGCGGTCTCGAAAGAAGGAGCGAGAAGCCCCTGAGTCAAGTGTGAAGGTGAGGGAGGCCGAAGCCGACGTGGTACCTGAGAGCGCAGACTCACCAGCACCTGAGGGCGCGGACGCACTGGCACCTAGAGCAGCAGCCTCACCAGTACCTAGAGCAGCAGTACCAATGCCCGGGTCGGGCGGGAAACACCGGTAACAGTCACCCTCATCACTAATAGTCACAGCATACATGGCAGCAAGGATAGCATCAAAGTCAAGATCAAAGATAGCTATGCCTGCCCTAGACAGCTCTCACCAGCGGGGGATCTCACTAGCCTCCGGGAACTGCTGACGCCAAGCGTCCGTCAGGCGGCCAAAGCAGCGCTGGGTGGGGTGAGCACCCCCACACTGCTCACCCGCGCGGTTGCCGGAGCGGAGGACGTAGGTGCACGGGCCAAAACCCCCACCACGCTGACGCTGCGTGTACCACTCACTGAGCTGCTGAGGAGGGGGGATGTCCCGAGAACGCTGCTGCTGCTGCTGCTGCTGGCGCTGACCACTCCCGGAGCCGCTCCGCTGAGAAGTACCACCTCGACCAGCTCCACCTCCTCCACCATCGCCGCCTCCACCTCCCCCGCCACCGCCGCCTCCGCTCCCACCGCTACCGCCACCGCCGCCTCCGCCTCCGCCGCTGCCACCGCCACCTCCACCCCCGGCACCACTCCCACCGCCACCCCCACTCCCCCCGCCGCCCCCACCGCCACCTCCACCACCCCCGCTAGCCCCACCCGCGCCCTTGCCCCCCTTGCCCTTGCCAGAGCGGCGTCTCCCGCTAGGGGCAGACGCCGCACCGACCGACTCAAGACCAACGAGGTCGGCCGCAGCAGCAGAGGCGACAGAGGGCAACAGGGGGGAAGGGGAACACCCCTCAAAGATGGGGGTGCGAGGGTCACCACGAGAGGCTCCTACAGCGACTATGCTCTTCTCCGCTACTAGGAGGGCCTTCTCTAGGAGGTCAACAGTGAGAGTGGTGGGACAGACTGAGAGGAAGTGGTCCCTGACTACGCGAAGGGAGTCAGGAAGGCGAGTGACGATATAATAGAGAGTGATGTACATGGGGGTCGGATTCTTGGCGCAGAACTCAGCAGGAAGTGCGGCGCGGTAGCGAGTGTCACTAGTGCGGAGGTGCGTAACGAGGTCAGCGAGTGTGGGAAAGGCAGCAAGGTCAGGAAAGAGGTACGGTAGCATGAGGCGGCTCAGTGCAGCAGTGGCAGGGGAAGAGTAGCGCGCAACTACAGCGTCGTATAAGGTGTGAGCACTCTTGTACTGACTAAAGTGCGCGCGCTCAGAGGTAGGCAGGTGGCGACGCACAGCAAGACGTGCAGCAGCATCGCGCGTGGCCCACTGGGAGCGAACAGCGGGGTCAGCATCGGCAGCAGGGGCAGGAGAGGCGCCAGAGGTGAGGTCAAAGAGGGAGAGACCGTCTGCCCTATCGCACTATAAGAAGAGCTGCAGGTCATCTACCCAAACCTCAAAGTCAATGGCTCGACCCTCAGCGTCAAAAGCGAGAACACTAGGGGAAGCCATGACAGCAGTAGACTAGCGAGACCAACTTTAGGACAGGGGCAGTGCAGTGACAGAAGCGCTGGTCTCACCAGACAGGGCAAGTCGGGCAGCTCAGTAGTGCAGTAACCCGGCAACACGGCTGCTCGGACGGCACAGTAGCGACTGCGGCTCCGCGGCACCGGCGACTCGGCTGATCAGGCGGCTCGGGCGGCTTGGGCGGCTCGGGCGGCTCGGGCGGCTCGGGTGGCTCAGGCGGCTCGGGCGGCTCGGGCGACTCGGGCGGCTCGGGTGTCTCGGGCGGCTCGGGCGGCTCGGGCGGCTCGGGCGGCTCGGGCTGTTCTGGCAGCTCGAGCGGCGCAGGCGGTGTAGGGCGGCAGGGCCGCTGGTGAACGGTGGCGGGGCCGCTGAGTAGGGCGGCGGGGCCGCAGGAGTAGGGCGGTGGGGCCGTAGGAGTAGGGCGGCGGGGCCGCAGGAGTAGGGCGGCGGGGCCGCAGGAGTAGGGCGGCGGGGCCGCAGGAGTAGGGCGGCGGGGCCGGTGCAGAAGGGCGGCGAGGCCGCTGAGCAGGGCGTCGGGGCCGCAAGGTAGGGCGACGGGGCCGTGAGGTAGGGCGGCGGGGCTGCGAGGTAGGGCGGCGGGGCCGCGAGGTAGGGCGGCGGGGCCGAGAGGTAGGGCGGCGGGGCCGCGAGGTAGGGCGGCGGGGCCGCGAGGTAGGGCGGCGGGGCCGCGAGGTAGGGCGGCGGGGCCGCGAGGTAGGGCGGCGGGGCCGCGACGATGGGCGGCGGGACCGAAGCGACGGGCGGCGGGGCCGAGGCGACGTGCGGCGGGGCCGCTAGGGGAAAGGGCCGCTAGGGCGGCTCGACGAAGTGCGACTCGGGCGGAGCGCGCTTCGGGCAGGAAAAAAAAGGTCGATGTGGTGGGCCCTAGGCACAGTTCCCACGGGGGAACCTGCTCGATACCATGAGAAAATGTGAACGAGAATGAATGAACTATGAAACAGTTGGGTACAAGTACTAACCCTAATTGGGTTGTACCCCATATGGGCTTCCCCACTACAGCCTACACAAAAGCATAAGCTATAATGTGCTGACAGCAATAATCAATCAGGTTTTTTTAGGGGGGTGGGCTTATAATCGAGTAAATTTATAAGCGCCAGCGTTTATACAATGGCATATATATTTTTTAATATCATTTAACACCAAACTGTAGATCTCGTGCTTGCCTTTTTAATCTAGTTGAAGTTACATGGGGTCGTCTGATATTCTCGCGCGTGCTGGGAGATACACTCAATCTGACTCACATCCAGCTTCCGACAGCTCCTGCTGACTGGACCCGCAGGGTCCGAATGTGAAGGGAACCGAATGTGAAGGGTCCGAATGTGAAGGAACCCGAATCTGCAACACATCCACCCGCCTGACATCCTCATCCTCATCGACACCCGTGTCACGACCACTTTCCGCGAGCTCTTGTTTAAATTTAAGCCACGAGCGTACGCACATTCTCCGCCCTCTGTAGTCGCTGGGAGAGTACGACCGGGCGGTATCATCGTCCTAGTGTTTAACAAGCGCATCACCATCACTGAGCGAGCACCCTCCTCGGACAATCGCCTCCTGCGACTTCATCTCAGCTTCCTCCAGCTGCACCTGGGCTTGGTCGCAATTTACCCCTCCACCCATGCGTCTGACCGTAGACGCTGGTGGAACGACACTCTGCACCCCGCCCTGACCGCGTGCACCAACTGTGACGGGATCATCTTGGCAGGCGATTTCAACGCTGTTACCGACCATCTCGATCGTAACCGTCCCCTCCTGCAGCATGAGCTAAGCGAAGCCAGCATCCTTAACACCCTCCTCAACGCACACGGTCTCGTTGACTCCTTCAGAATCCACCATCCCTCTCTCCCCTCTTTCTCTTTTGTTTCGCATGCCCGCGCTGGTTTGGCGTCCTGCCCGGCCTCTCGCCTGGACAGAATTTGTGTCTCACATGGCTGGCTCTCCCAGCTCCAGTCGGCTGACCTGGTCGCCATCTCCCCCCAACTCTCCGACCATTTCCAACACCCTGTTTGCACCATCCTTGTTGACGACCCCAATACAGCCCCTAGACCCTGGAGGTTTCCGCACTCTCTCCTTCGCAAACACTGCGTTCAAATCCTTGTCCAGAAAGCTGTACACTCCCTCCCTCAGCCGTTGTCCCCTCTTGGGTGGGACAGTTGGAAAGCCCACCTTTGTGCCTGCCTTCGGTCATTCTCCTCGGAAGAACGCACCCGTGTCCGCAAGACAATGACGCACCTCCAGTCGGTCGTCGCTACGTGCCAACTCTCCCTCCTGCGCTTTCCCCATAACCCCCTTATACAGCACCGTCTACAGCAGTCTTCCAGACAGCTGGAACAGTATCTGTCCTCTCGTGCCGCTGATATCGCCTTCAAAGCCAAGCTCAAAGTGGAGGGGGCCCGTGAGATGGGTGTCCCGTCTCTCCTCAGTAGTCTCAATTCCCATATCAAGGCCTCGCAAGTCTCCGCGATCACACTCCCCTCTGGCCGCCTCACCTCCAACCTCAGCGAAATCAACGCCCATTGCACCTCCTTCTTCTCCAGCCTTTACGGTGCCCCTCCCCAACCCGCTCGTCCGTCGGATTTCTGGCGTCACCTCCCCCCCTCGTCCCCACCGTCAGCTTTGCTGCTTCCCTTAATGGCGCCCTTCTCGCTTGCCGAAATTGATCGTGCAATGGCCTCTCTCGCCCCTGGCAAGACGCCCGGCAGCGATGGCCTGCCCGGAGATTTCTTCCGCACTTACCGTGCTCTCCTCGGTCCGGTCTTCCATCAACTCTTCGCGTCAATCTGGCGCTCCCAGTCGTTGTCCCCCTCTATGAGAGGCGGCCGCACTGTCCTCATCCCCAAACGACAGTCTTCCTCAATGGTCGAGGATCTTCGCCCTATTACGCTCATGAATGCTGACTACAAAACCCTCGCCATCTGCCTCGCCAACCGTCTTCAACCTGTTCTGCGCCACATCATCCACCCCGCCCAGACAGCCTTTGTGCGCGGTCGTAGCATTGGCGATACGATCAATGACACTCTCGATTTAATGGAATGGGCAGTTGCCCGCTCCGTACCCCTCCTCGTACTCACAGTAGACATCCGCAAAGCCTACGACCTGGTAGATCGCGAGTTCATGTACCAGTGTTTGTCCTATCTAGGCCTGCCTTCCGACTTCATCACTTGGGTACGCCTCCTCCACACTGACACCTCCACCCGGGTATTGGTCAATAATCATCCAGGACCCGACTTCCCGGTCCGCTCTGGCGTCCGTCAAGGCTGCCCCCTAGCCCCACTCTTGTTCATCTGTGTCATCGAGGTCCTTCACCGCCATCTGTCCTCTGCCCTCCCGGGTTTTGCCTTCTCCACCCACCAACGGCGTCTGGCAGCATGCTATGCCGATGACATTTCAATTTTCCTCAACTCAGACTCCGAACTTCACACTGCCTCCCAGCTTTTGGACTCCTTTGCCCTGGTCTCCAGGGAACAGCCTAACTGGAATAAGTGCTCCATCCTCCCCTTCAATATCCCGCATCAGCAGATTACGCACGCAGGCCCCATTCCGGTGCGCCAACCTGAAGACGCTGAACGTATTCTGGGTGTGTTTGTTCAGCATTCCCAACCCGGAGTCAGGACGTGGGAACAGATTCTCGCCAAAGCCTCATCCACCATCGCATTTCTCTCTAAACTTCACCTCACTGCTTCGTGTCGCGCTGCCCTTGTCACTGAGAGGGTCATCCCCCTGATTGCCTTCGGCGGCCGCTTTCAGCCTCCTCCCCCTCGCTTGCTTAAACAGCTGGACATGCTCGTTGGAAATTTCCTCTCCGCCAGCAAGCATCACTCCACAGGCCTCGTCTCCCGGCTTCTCACCAAACGCATCCTCTATAATAAAAAACAACACGGTGGGATCGGCGGACTTGAACCCTCGCAGTACGTATCTGCCCTCAACGTCCAGCGAGCCTGCCGCCGCTTCCGGCCCACCCCGTTTGAGGACATTGCGCGGAGCTGCTCCACCCTGCCTTTCGGACTCCATTGCTTCCTTCTCCATCCCCTCATCTTGAGAAGTCTCCCTGTCTCCACCCCCCCTCGTGCCAGGGCTGAACTTGAGTCCTTCCTGGCCATGTCCCCGCTCATACACCCCCCACGCTTGGAGCCTTGGGTCTTACTGGCAGAACCCCTCCCCTTTAATCGTTTTCTCCTTAAGCCGGATGGGCAACCCTTTGGTGGTCTCAAAGAAGAACTGCCTCTCCTCACCCTCCAACTCCGCCTCGGACATCTCCTCACCCCCACAGAGTCTGGTCTTCGTCGCCTCTCCAGAGTTGAAATTTTCCGTCGATTCCCTACTGCCCGTTTCCCCTGCAGCAGACGTATCCTCACTGCCATTACCGAAGCGGTTCCTCTGGACTGGTGGGAGGTCCTCCTCCCTTTTCAACGCCCTCTGGGATCCTTGTCTGCAGGAGATTGGACTGTCCCTGTCTCCCCTCCTCCCCTCTCTCCTCCTCAACTACTGCAGGTTCGCGTTACACTCCCAGGCGTCTGGTGGTAGCAGATAGGTACGACATCAGCTGTAGACGTGTAGGTAGGGAGGCCGTCAGCTGCTGCGTCGTCCCCGAACGTGCCCTTCTCACCATCCTCGTCCGTGACAGATGGATCCATGGACCCTTTTGCTCCGGTGCTGGGTTAGCCGATCGCATAGACCTGCTCCGCCCAGGACCACCATCCTTAGCAGTCCTTCGCAAACAGTTCTACCGCCCTCAGCCGCTCTCCCTACAGGAAGCCTGGTCGACTGCGTTACAACTCCCTGTCCCTGCACTGCCCTCGCTCACACACCCCTTCCTCCGCGAGCAGCCCAGTCGATCCCGCGACCTCCTCCTCCGCCTTTTTGCGCGTGCCCTTCCCACAGGTGCCCGTTTCCGTTTCATGGAAGATGGTGGCAGCTGTCGACGCTGTCCACCAAGACCCCTTGAGACCCTCCTACACGTCTTCAATGAGTGTGGCCCAGCGGCGACAGTCTCAGCGGCTCTCTGTCGGGTGACACGTTCGCACCTGGGAGTGGCTGTCCCGGCTCCGCTTGTGTTCTTCCCTCTCTCCCACCCTGCTGGACAGATTGCACCTTGGTGCTTGTTGGTGGGCGCTGCTGCCAAGACCCTCTGGGATGAGCGCTGTGCAACTGTACATCAGCGCGAGTCTTCCTCAACCATCTCCATCCTGCACCGTGTCTTAGGAGCTTTCCTTTCCGCTTGCAAGCTTTTCTTCTGGCAGCGGAAAAAGCGTTCGATCAAATTCCAAAGGGCAACGGCATCCAGGGTTCGCTACGCCCAGTCTCTCCGCCTTCTGTGCTTTGACTCTTCTGAGTACCCTTCACTACACCCAGCACTACAACGGACCTGGCTCCTGAACGACCCCTTCCGCCCCCCCTGAATGCAGCATCCTCATCTAGCCCTGGTACCGGCCATCAAGTGGTCCCTGGTGCCAGCGGGAGTCCCGCTGGGCAGCTAGCACGATACAGTGCAGGTTGTTTTTACGACCTTGATATGTTATCATTGCTGCTGCTTGTATCAAATGTATTGGTTACGACCATCAATAAAACTTAAAACTTAAAACCGAATCTGCAACACATCCGTCTGTTAAAGTAAACATCGTTACAGCGTTCTGAACACATTTCAAAATTTACAGTTTACGTGCGCTTATAATAAAACAAGTTTTTTTCAGGGGGTGCGCTTATGATCGAGAAGCGGATATAAGCGTCACACGCCAATTAAAAGCGCCAGGCGCTAATCCGAGGGTGGCGCTTATATCCGGGGTATGACAGTAAGTGTACTGTACAGTAGGCTCTTTTCACCTTTCGTAGATTCCCATCCCCGTTACCTAGGGCTCCTACCATTACCACCGCCTTCTTCCTTTCTCATATGGCTCGCATAGGCTCCCAGCTTCAGCCCCTGAAGGCTCGCAAGCGTACAGCAGCTTCAGCTCCCACTGTTGCCCTCTCAGGCTTATTCAGCTAACCTTGAGTATTGCTTCGCATATTTTGCCTTGACTCCTGCCACTGTTTATAAACAGACTTGAAAGGGAGGAGTGCTACTGTAAGGGACGCTCATATATCAGCCATCCTTCTCGCACACATGCTTGCTTCCTGCCTTCAGCTTGTACCCTTTATAGCAGCGACACTCAAACTGTGTAGAGCTGCTGGCACTGCTCGCTGGCACACAAGTTCCGTAACCTGAGCAGGGTGGGCTGCTGCTGCTGGTTCCACAAAATTTTTCACAAGCCGCCCCGCTCCGCTGCTGTTTCTCCGGGCAGCTAGACGTTTTCGACAGGCAGTTCTGCACAGCTCGCAGAATTTCATCGTCCCCGAACCCCTGCCTGAGACCGGACTCCTCCGGGCAGAGTTTCTGCCCGGAAATAGTGAGCATGGGGTTACCCCATAAGTAGTTATACTGCAGATCGAACATCATGTCCCCATCACCCCTCCCCAGCTGAGGCAGCTTCCCAGAGAAGTAATTTTCGGAGATGTTGAAATCCGTCAGGGGAATGTTGGAGAGCGCAGCTGCAGGAATTGAACCCACGAACGAGTTGCTGGCAATGTCCAGATGCACCAGAGTCCCCGCAACTCCCGCTTTCACGGCAGTCCACGGAAATTCTCCCGTCATCTGGTTATACGCGAGAGAAAGATCGGTCAGGGGCGGTTTATATGCGAAAAACTTCCACGAAACAGAGCCGTTGAGCCGGTTCTTCATGAGGTAAAGCTTGTTGAGATTTTTTATCCTGCCCAGAACGGGGGGCAGGTTTCCTGAAAACTTATTGAAGCTCAGATCGAGGGAACGAAGGCTCGGGTGCTGCCACAACTGAGCCAGCGACAGAGTCGAGTCTTTAATCCCCGATTGCTGCATATTCAGTCCCTCGAGCCGCGACAGCCTGTTGATTAACTTGTAAGGGAAGACGCCGCCAATGGGATTGTATGAAAGGTCGAGGACCTTAAGAGTCGGAGCGAGAGCGGTCAGCTTGCCAGGTAGAGGACCTATTAATCGGTTCTCCTGCAGGTTTAACTCCTCGAGGAGCCGCAATCCCGACAGCTGGCGCGGCACGGCTCCCGTTAAGCGATTATGCGCGAGGAGAAGCGTCTTTAAGTTCAGAAGGGATCCGAGCGCGGCGGGAATCGGGCCAGTGAGCTGGTTTAGGGCAAGCGAGAGGTAATTAAGACGCTTAAGGCTGCTAAGCGCGGGTGGGATGCCTCCGGAAAACCTATGACCAAAGAGATCAAGCGACACGAGGTTCGTGAGGGAAGGGAGGGAGCGTGGAATGCGGCCGCTGCATCCCCCCGTGCTGCTGCTGATCCTGATGTTCGTGAGGGTCAGAAGCGCGCCGATTGACTCCGGAAGGGAGCCCGTGAGGTTCATCCCGGAGATTTCGAGGTGTTGGAGGGAGTTGAGAATGGTGATGGTCCGCGGAATGGGCCCCGTTTCCCAGAGGTTGAGCTCGATCCTCACGACCGCGCCTTGCGGGGTGCATTTGACGCCTTCCCATTTGCTGCAATCCGTCCCCGCGCGCCACGTCTCGTTATAGATGTACTCGTTAAGGTACGGCATCAAGGAGAGCAGGAACTTCTCCTGAGCGGGCTTGATTCGCGCGGCGTGGCTCGGGATGCACAGAATGCTTGCAACGAGAACGAAGAGAGCTACTATCGGGGATGCGAGCGAGGCTGAACCATTCCTAGTACATCTACCGAGGAGGGGTGCCATCGGCGCTTCTCGAAGTGGACGTCACCAACAATTGGCTATTACGAGGCAACAGTCGAAACCAGTCAAACTCGAAACAGGAATGTTAAGTCGTAGTTCGGAGTTGTGCGGCTCCGTAGTCTCTAAAGGGATTAATCAGGTGCTGCTGTTACGATGATATCGTGGAGAGGTTTTACCGGATATCTAGTAGGCATATGAGGAGGGTGCTAACTCGATTCGCGAAAGGTAGGCTTGAGGAAGCCACAGTTGCTTTTATGCCATCATCAATCGCTGTCGTTGGCGGCATTTCCATTCGCCAGGACCCATGTGCCTGCTAAGCGGCGAGGAGCCGCGCGATCGAGTCGCTCCAGCAAGGTACGGAAGGTGTGATGTTTGTTGGCATGCCTCCAAGGGAAACATCACAGCAGCGAGGAAAGACACACCAAAACAACAGCGTCGATTTCGATTTGCAAGTGAGATGCACGGATGAGCTATCACTGGTTGGGGGAATTGCCAAGTTGTTTTTCTCTGTAAAACTTCTTTTGAGAGACTGTTCGCAGTCTCTAGCCCATTGATCAGGGACATCGAGTCCCAGTGGGAACCGAAAGCAGTGTAGACTCCTATCATCTCCTGATCCATTGAAGAGCCCCAGAACAGCTAAGTTTCTGAGACTCATAACCGGCAAAATCAGTCTCGAACTTGCAGGGTTATGGAACAGCAGTGTGGATGAAATATTATGAAAAATACAATGCTTAGCTCAGGGCAGCATGGAGAACCTTAAAATATAGGCTGTGAAACAGAAATAATAGTCCCGCCAATTCCGTGTGGGTGGAATGCGGCTTGCGTGGTGCACGACATTGAGATTCTCCGAATCGCGCAGGTCCACAATGTCCACTATGTGCAGGGCGAAGAAGCACATTCGCGTTTCCAGACGACTGCGACGACAGCTGCGAAACGGCTGATTGGACGGTGGAGTCCTGGCAGTAACTGTACGACCGGCTGTGGTGTCTCGCTCCCAGTGAGATGGCTGACACCTGACGTCATGTTTGCACATACGGCAGCTCGGTGGCAGCTTCGTGATTCTTGACTCGTGTCGAAACCCCTTTCTTGTATCTCGCTAGTATGTAATTACATATTGTACATTATGTGGATTTTTAATGGACTTCTTTTCTTTCCGGGCGTTTGGGTAAACCTAGTAGAAGGGTTTGGTGTACGTGCCAAATGTGATGAAGGTAATGTGTACTTGTCAGCATATTTACCGTGACAGCAAGTACCAAGCAGATAAACAAATTAACAAATGAAAATCCATCACTAGTGATAGAAAAGCTCCTCTATTGGCTCCTGCTACAAGAATCCTTGATGCCCAAAGGTGGAATAGGAGAGACACAAGTGGGTAGGGAGAGGGGAGACACAGGATCGGGTCGTCTTGCAGAGGTATGGAGAGGCGGCGTGCGAAAGGGGTTAGAAAGGCTATCGCGTGGCGCAGAGGCAGAGGGAGGAGACATCCAATGAGGGATTGAGGTAGTACAAAGACTAGCGCGTGAGGCAGAGGGTCTGGGAGGGGGAGGCGTGTCAGGAGGAGGGCGGGGGAGGGTGAAGAACGCAGCAGCTGCAGCAGCAGCAGCAAAGGCAGCAGCTGCCATGAAGCCAGGAATGTTGCCCCCACCGAAGAATGCATCAAAGGGGCCGATGACTAGCGATACAAACATCTGCGCGGGTAGGGGTATGGCACAGATGGGGTGTCAGTAAGGGCCAGGTTGGGAGGAGGGGCAGTTGCAGCGAAGGCAGCTGCTGCCATGCAGCCAGGAATGTTGCCCCCACCGAAGAATGCATCAAAGGGGCTGATGACTAGTGACACTAACATATGAGAGAGTGGCACAGAGGGGCCCAGAGGGGCAAACAAGGGGCAGGGTAACATGTTGGGATGGGAAGTCACCTATGCACAACAAGGTGACCTGGGCATCCACCTGAAACGTTATGAGACCACCTGGGCATCCACCTGAGACGTTATGAGACCACCTGGGCATCCATCCAAGGAAAAATGAGGGATTCACCATGGTAGAATGAAAAAATCGACTGAGCACAATATAATTAACCCAGGGATTCACCTGAGGAATAACAAGACCACCTGAAGATTCACCTGAGGCAGCACTATCGCAATGTTGAGTAGACCAGCTGCCAGGCCCTGCCCGCCGCCTCCTCTGGTGGTGAAGGACGCTGTGAGAGAGAAGGGGAGGCTGTAGGTCACCTGGGGTGATGGATGGGGCGTGGGGCATGGTGGATTGTGTGTTTGGAATCGGACGTCAAGGCAAGGCAGGGCCTGCCCTCCGCCTCCTCTGGTGGTGAAGGACGCTGTGAGAGAGAAGGGGAGGCTGTAGGTCACCTGGAGGGATGGATGGGGCGTGGGGCATGGGGCATGGTGGGTGGTAGTGGGTGGTGGGCGGGAGTTCAGACGTGAAGGCAACAGTCATTGCGAGCCACATAGCAAGCAGGCCCTCCCCTCCGCCTCCTCTGGTGGTGAAGAACGCCGCGAGGGAGAATGGGAGGCTGTAGGTCACCTGGTGAGATGGGAGATAGGAGATGGTGGGATGGGAGATAGGAGATGGTGGGATGGGAGATAGGAGATGGTGGGATGGGAGAGAGGAGATGGTGGGATGGGAGAGAGGAGATGGTGGGATGGGAGACGGCGAACGGAACGGGTGGGTGGCAAAGCATGAGGTTCAATGGTGTGCGCATCAGGCAGAGAAAGACCGGCTGCCACGCCCTGCCCTCCCCCGCCCCAAGAGGGTGGTCACAAGGAGTCACAAGGCAGGCCTGGGGGTGGTGGGTGGGGCATGGGGCATGGTGGACGGTGGATGGTGGATGGTGGACGGTGGACGGTGGACGGTGGACGGTGGACGGTGGTGGACGGTGGTGGACGGTGGACGGTGGTGGACGGTGGTGGACGGTGGTGGACGGTGGACGGTGGTGGACGGTGGTGGTGGACGGTGGTGGTGGACGGTGGACGGTGGTGGTGGACGGTGGTGGACGGTGGACGGTGGTGGACGGTGGTGGTGGACGGTGGTGGACGGTGGACGGTGGTGGACGGTGGTGGTGGACGGTGGACGGTGGTGGACGGTGGTGGTGGACGGTGGTGGACGGTGGTGGACGGTGGTGGACGGTGGTGGACGGTGGTGGACGGTGGTGGACGGTGGTGGGCGGTGGTGGATGGGGGATCAGGCGTCAAGGCAGCCGTTATTTCGAGTCACATAAGAGACCCTGCTCTCCAACCTTGCTGCGAGGGAGAACATACGTCCGCAGGACGTAAGGCCTCCGCAGCCCACCTGTCTGCGTTCGACAAAACCTTGCTGTGAGGGAGAACAGAAAAGATGGTGAGTAGAGAGTGCCGCTGCCTTTCGTGGCTTTGATCAACTCAGGTGCACATCAGCAGCAGTGAATGCGCCTGTTCCAAGCACAGTAATAACTCTCATACCATGCGTGCCCCAACTCACCGCCATGGGAGCGCCGAGAACAGCAAGGATGGTGAGTGCAGCTGCCTTGATTTTCGAGACGTGTCAAAAACAGATTCCCAGAACAAGGCATGACACAACACTACCACTCACCGCCATGGGAGCGCCAAGGACAGCAAAGATGGTGAGTGCAGCTGCCTTAGCCACCCTTGATTGCGACACGCCTGACACGCTTGAAAATGGCAGCAGCAAGGATTGCTGGCGTGATACCGCAGGATGCGACTCAAGCAACGGCTCTTGCATCCCGAGTTTCCGCGCGCCCATCAGCTTCCGAAGCCCAGCAGTCGCCAGTCCGTTTTGAGACAGGGAGCAGCAGAGGCTACCGGTGGCATGTGCCTGGTTGAGTTGAGGCACAACAGGAGCAGCAGAAGGAACAGCAGGGGTGACCAGCACGTTTTGAGGCAGCCAGGATTGAGCTTCAACCCCTTGTGCAGGAGCACCAGCGGCCACAGCAGCAGCGGCTAGCCGGATTTGAGGCACAACAGGAGCAGCAGAGGGCACGGCAGCAGTGGCGAGCAGGCAAACAGCAAGCACCAGATTCCCCACGGCCCACACGGTCCTCGACCCGAACCTCCGGCACAGAGCGTCGATCCTGAGGCTCGTCACTCCCTGCACCACCGAGTTCAGCACCAGACCTAGCGCTCCGAACCTCACTCCCCTGCTGTACGCCTTAAGAGCCGCCTCGCTACTAGCACTAGCGACTCCGCTGGCTACAAAACTAGCTGCGTTACCAGATCCTAGCGAAGCAGCAGATGCACCTCTTGCTGTACCAGCAGCAGCAGCAGCAGCAGCAGCTTTAGCTGTTGCAGTTGCTGCTGCAGACGCTGCTGCCCTAGCCGCTGCTAGTCCAGATTCCCTAGGGTTACTCGATCCCCCAAAGACCTCTCGGCCCATCCAATCAGTGTCGAAGAGCAGGAACGGGAACCACGCAAGCCAGGTTAGGGCCGTGACTGCCAGCACGCACAGCACGGGGGGAGGCAGCTGCTGCACTGAACTGACCAGCTCCCATAACAGCACCTGCTTCGGTTCCTCCTCTCCCTCTTCCTCCTCCTCCTCCTCCTCCCCATCCCCCTCCCCCTCCCCGTCCTCTTTTTCGTCTTCCTTCTGCTGCTCCGCTTGCCTCGTCCCGCCTTTCTCTGCCTCAACTGTAGTTGACCCATTCGCTCCTCTCTTGTGCCCCGTCTCGCCTGCTCCCATCTCCTCTATCTCACTCGCACTGAACCCACTTACGCTGTTTCCACCACACTCTCTCCCACACTCCCTCCCACTCTCTCTCCCACACTTCCTTTCCCCTCCCTCCGACCCCTCCACCTGAACCAAATCACTCATCGCCTCACTGCTTTCCCTTGTCCTCCGCCCTCCCATGTCCGCATCAGCAGGATCTGCTTGTAACGAGTCAGCAGCAAAGAGGCCTTCTAACGAGTCATCCACAGGCCACACCCCACCAGAGCTGAATACCCCACTTGTGCCGCTGCCACTGATGCTGCTCCTACTGCTGCTGCTGCTGCTGCTGCTGCTGCTGCTGCTGTTGCTGCTGCTGGGGATGGGGACTTGACCAGTAACCAGAGCATGAATAGCAGCAGGAGCAGCAGCAGGAGAAGAAGAAGGCCCAGCAGGGGGCGCGTAATGGGTGCTACAAGGCAAAAGCGGCTGCCTCATCAGGCTATCCTCCCTAAAAGCCTCCCTGATAGTAGCAATAGCAGCAGCGTCGGCCCCGGAAGCATCAGCAGCAGAGCTATCAGCACCAACAGCACCAGCAGAAGCACCAGCAGCACCAGCACCAGCAGCAGCACCAGCAGCACCAGCACCAGCAGCAGCACCAGCAGCAACACCACTATCGGCAGCAACAGAATCAGAAAGTGGCACCTCAGAAGCAGCCGACACACTAACAATGGTCGACACCAGGAGCAGCACCACATGCAGCATGAACGCAGCCTTGAGATTCGCACACACGCCGTTACACGCCGCGGTTACCAGCGAGAACCCCCCGAACGGGCGGAGGAGGAGCGAGAGAGGAGCGGAGAGGGCGGAGGCGAGGTGCGGGTAGGAGCCAGCTGCAAAGCCCAGCACGTTGCCGAGAGCCATGAAAGCAGAAAAGTAAGCGTTGGCCCTGCGAGTGCGCTTGCCTTCCGTGCCTGTACAGGGGATGTTTGTAAGGAGGACAAAGCGGAAGAGGGAAGGTGGGTGGGGGTAGGAGCCAGCTGCAAAGCCGAGCACGTTGCCGAGAGCCATGAAAGCAGAAAATTATGCATTCGCTCTGCGAGTGCGCTTGCCTTCTGTGCCTGCAAAGGGGGTTATTTTTCAAGGAAGATGCATGGAAAGACGGGAAGAAAGGAGATGGGGGTAGGAGCCAGCTGCACAGCCAAGCACGTTGCTGAGAGCCCTGAACGCGGAGAAGTAAGCATTCGCTTGCGAGTGCGCTTGCCTTATGTGCCTGTAACGGGGATGTTTGTAAAGAGGACAAAAGGAAAGAGGGAAGATGGGTGGGGGTAGGAGCCAGCTGCAAAGCCTAGCACGTTTTTCAAAGCCTTGAACGCTGAGAAGTATGAAAGCAGAGGGATTCAGAGCAAGGTGAGGTGGGGCCGGAGGAGGGAGAGGGGAGAGGAGAGGGCGGAGGCGAGGTGCGGGTAGGAGCCGGCTGCAAAGCCAAGCACGTTACCGAGAGCCATGAACGCGGAAAAGTATGCATTGGCTCAACGAGTGCGCTTGCCTTCTGTGCCTGTAAAGGGGATGTTTGTAAAGAGGACAGAAGCATAGAACAGAGACGAGGTGGGAATAGGTAGGAACCAGCTGTGAAGGCAAGGACGCTGCCAAGAGCCATGAACGCAGCGAAGTATGCATTCGCCCTGCGAGTGTGCTTGCCTTCCATGCCTGTAAAGGACTTTTCTGTAACGAGGACAAAGGGGTAGAGAGAAGGTGGGGGTAGGAGCCAGCTGCAAAGCACAGCACATTGCTCGGAGGCATGAAAGTGGAAAAATAGGTATTGACCCGTCAATTTTAGCTTGCTTCGGCAACACTCACCAGTAAAATCAGCGAGGTTTTTCTGAGAATTCTCAAAGAAACACTCACCAGTAAAATCGGCCAGCAGAGCTCGACACGGTCCCTGTAGGCTGTTGTTGGCCAGGTCAAGCAGCCTGAGAGAAGTGGGTGGAGAGGAGTGAGGAGAAATTGAGGGAAAATGACAGAAGCAGGTGGACAAAGCAACAGTATGCTCAAGAGAAGCAGAGAAGAGAAGCAGTGTGATCCGCCAGAACAACTCGACTCAGTCCCTGCAGGCTGTTGGGCGGATCGAGAAGCCTGAGAGAAGAACAGAGTGAAAATGGGTGGAGAGGAGTGAGGGGAAATGAGAGGGAACTTGAGAGCAGCAGGTGGAAAACGAAAGCAGTATGCTACACCAGAAGAGGGAACTAGAAGAGCTCGGCATGGTCCCTGCAAGCTGTTGGGTGGCCAAGTCAGGCAGCATGAGAGAAAAAAGGGGTGATGATGGGCGATGATGGGCGATGATGGGCGATGATGGGCGATGATGGGTGATGATGGGTGATGATGGGTGATGATGAGAGGAGTGAGGGAAAGAAGGGATTCTAGAGGTAGCAGGTAGACAGAGAGGCAGGCTGTTGTTGGCCAAGCAAAGAACCTGAACCCATATCCTTGCTCTATCCGGTTTTTGAGTCGACTCAAAAGAAGGACCTGAACCCATATCCTTGCTCTATCCGGCTTTTGAGTCGACTCAAAAGCAGGACCTGAACCCATATCCTTGCTCTATCCGGCTTTTGAGTCGACTCAAAAGCAGGACCTGAACCCATATCCTTGCTCTATCCGGCTTTTGAGTCGACTCAAAAGCAGGACCTGAACCCATATCCTTGCTCTATCCGGCTTTTGAGTTGACTCAAAAGCAGGACCTGAACCCATATCCTTGCTCTATCCGGCTTTTGAGTCGACTCAAAAGCAGGACCTGAACCCATATCCTTGCTCTATCCGGCTTTTGAGTCGACTCAAAAGCAGGACCTGAACCCATATCCTTGCTCTATCCGGCTTTTGAGTCGACTCAAAAGCAGGACCTGAACCCATATCCTTGCTCTATCCGGTTTTTGAGTCGACTCAAAAGCAGGACCTGAACCCATATCCTTGCTCTATCCGGTTTTTGAGTCGACTCAAAAGCAGGACCTGAACCCATATCCTTGCTCTATCCGGCTCAGATCAATCAAACGCCTCTCCCACTCACCAGAACCCCAGGATGAAAACAACAATCGCTCCCACCAGCGACCGCCCTGCTTCCACCCTTGCGTCCCCCAACGCATGCCCCAAGTCCCTCAAGAACACTATCAGCATCGCCGCCGCCGCCACCAGAGCAGCGCAGCCCACAACACACCCCACTCACCAGAACCCCAGAATGAACACGACAATTGCCCCCACCAGCGGCCGCCCTGCTTCAATCCTCGCATCTCCCAGTGCATGCCCCAAGTCCTTCGAGAACGCTATCAGCATCGCTGCCACCACCACCAGAGCAGCACCGCCCACCACACACCCCACTCACCAAAAACCAAGGATGAAAACGACAATAGCTCCTACCAGCGGCCGCCCTGGTTCCACCCTCGCATCCCACAATGCATAGCTCAGGTCCCTCGAGAACGCTATCAGCATCGCCGCCACCGCCACCACAGCAGAGCACATCTCATTGGTCTCTTGCAGTTAGTGACTCAAAAACGCCTCTCCCACTCACCAAAAACCAAGTATGAACACGACGATTGCTCCCACCAGCGGCCGCCCTGCTTCCACCCTCGCGTCCCCCAGTGCATAACCCAAGTCCCAACTCAGGATCGCCGCCACCACCACCAGAGCGGAGCAACGCACATCCCATCCCATCAGCAGCAGAGCAGAGCAGCGCACATCATCCCATCCCATCAGCAGCAGAGCAGAGCAGCGCACATCCCATCCCATCAGCAGCAGAGCAGAGCAGCGCACATCCCATCCCATCAGCAGCAGAGCAGAGCAGCGCACATCCCATCCCATCAGCACCAGAGCAGAGCAACGCACAACCCATCCCATCAGCAGCAGAGCAGAGCAACGCACATTTTATCAGCACCAGAACTTCTATGCATTCTCCCACTCACCAGAACCCGAGAATGAACACGACGATTGCCCCCACCAGCGGCCACCCTTCTTCCACCCTCACATCCCCCAACGCGTGCCCCAAGTCCCTCGAGAACGCAATCAGCATCGCCGCCACCGCCACCACAGCAGAGCACATCTCATTGGTCTCTTGCAGTTAGTGACTCAAAAATGCCTCTCCCACTCACCAGAACCTGAGGATGAACACAACAATTGCCCCCACCAATGGCCGCCCTGCTTCAATCCTCGCATCCCCCAACGCATGCCCCAAGTCCCTCGAGAACGCAATCAGCATCGCCGCCACCGCCACCACAGCAGAGCACATCTCATTGGTCTCTTGCAGTTAGTGACTCAAAAATGCCTCTCCCACTCACCAGAACCTGAGGATGAACACAACAATTGCCCCCACCAATGGCCGCCCTGCTTCAATCCTCGCATCCCCCAACGCATGCCCCAAGTCCCTCGAGAACGCTATCAGCATCGCCGCCACCGCCACCAGAGCAGAGCTGTGCACAGTGGTTTCTTGCACTTATTGACTCAAAAAGACTTCTCCCACTCACCAGAACCCCAGAATGAAAACGACAATCGCTCCCACCAGCGGCCGCCCCTCCTCATCCCCCAGTGCATGCCCCAAGTCCCTCGAGAACGCAATCAGCATTGCCGCCACCGCCACCAGAGCAGCGCAGCACACAAGACAAGCGACTCACCAAAAACCAAGTATGAAAACGACAATCGCTCCCACCAGCGGTTGCCCTGCTTCAATCCTCGCATCCCCCAGTGCGTGCCCCAAGTCCCTTGAGAACGCTATCAGCATCGCTGCCACCGCCACCAGTGCTGCCCCCGCCACAATGAACGGGCGGCGCCGCCCATACGGGCAGCGACAGCTGTCGCTCCAATGGCCAATCAGAGGCTGGAGAAAAAGGGGGGAGATGGTTGGAGGGAACGTGGGGGAACGGAAGCGGGGGGCGGACGAGAGGAGGAAGAGGGCGGGGTAAGTTGGGGGATGGGCGAGGAATGGGGGGGAGGGGTGAGGAGAGGAAGGGACAAAAGGGCAGAAAAACCGATAGGTCGGCAAATGGGGGAGCTTTTCTTTGATATGCTAAATTGATTTACATTTAGCGGCTGTTCCAAAGCTAAAGATTGCTAACAAACGGCTCGAGCTCAGGGCGCAGGTAACAACCGCCTCATTCCCTCCCTTTTTTCCCCACCTCTCCCCTCTCCCCACCCCCAAGTTAACACCTGCACTAGTCAATACTCGCAGCAGTGATACCCGCACCAGTGAATGCCTACACCAGTAAATACCTGTACAAACAGGCTGGACAAAGGCCCACAGAGCCAGATGTAGGGGGCCCAGGCATGGGGAATACCGAGCTGCTGCACATAGGGCGCAGACTCACACCCTCTGCCCTCCCCCTTCTAAAGTTACTCCCTGCACCAGTAAACAGAACCTCTTTTCCCAACCCCCCTCCCCCAACATCTTTCCCAACCCCCCTCCTCCTACTCTCCCATCTTACCAATGGCGATGCACTCACCATCTTATCTCACCAGCAAATACGTGCACAAACAGGCCGAACAAGGGCCCACAGAGCCAGAAGAAGAAGGCCCAGGGCAGAGAGGAATACCACAGGGTGTTTTTGAGAAATCTCAAAAACACCCTGCAGAATTCTCAAAAACACCCTTCACCAGCAAATACCTGCACAAACAGGCCGAACAAGGGCCCACACAGCCAGATGTAGGAGGCCCAGGGCAGAGAAGAGAGGAATACCGCCCTGCTGCATGTAGGGCATAAACACCTCCTCTTTTTACCCACCTTCCTCCTTTCCCCCTCTTCCCCATCACTCTCAGCAAATGCCCCCCCCCCCCCCCCCCCCCCCCCCCCCCCCTTAATACCTGCACAAACAGTCCCGATACAGGCCCACAGAGCCAGATGTAGGAGGCCCAGGCATGGGGAATACCGAGCTGCTGCACATAGGGCGTGAGCAGAGAGAGCTGTAGAGCCCATCCGAACTGTAACCCCGCTGCAACCGATGCCACCTGGCGGTTTGTGATTGGAGGAGGATGGAAAGAAAAGTTGTAGGCCCAGGCACAGGGAATACCGAGCTGCTGCACATAAGGCGTGAGCAGAGACAGCTGTAAAGCCCAGCCGAACTGCAACCCCGCTGCAACCGATGCCACCTGGCGTTTCGTGATTGGAGGAGGATGGAGAACAGGGTGGTGAAAAACATCAGGCTGTAGGAGGCCCAGGCATGGGGAATGCCGAGCTGCTGCGCATAGGGCGTGAGCAGAGACAGCTGTAAAGCCCAGGCGAACTGCAACCCCGCTGCAACTGATGCCACCTGGCAGTTTGTGATTGGAGGAAGACGGGTGATAAGGAGTCGGAAACAAAATTGGTTGTAGGATGCTTAGAACGCAGGGGGAATACCAAGCTGGCACAAACCAGGGAAACGTGAGCAGAAGAACTGTACTTTCACTGGAAAAGACAACTGCAGTTAGCACGTCCAGCAGAAGAAAGAAGAGGAGCAGCAACACATTGGACTAATATAACAAAGGGATGTTGGTCAAAGGGGCGATATACACAAGGTGGTTTCGTCTGTAAAGAAGCTCCAAGAGTGAGCACCCTGGGTGATGAGTGGGTAGGGACACCTATGGACGGAAGCTTTTAGAGAGAGCACCCAGGTGAGGCACATCAGAATCGTATTTCAATAAGATAAAATAATTCGTTTATATTCAAATACTATTGTTCTAAGCAGCACCTTGGCTAGACCAATCAGGGGAACTCGCTTCTTTGTCCCAGCCTTCAACGGACGGTTCGGATTTCCTGCTTTCCCACCTCCTGAACATCCCCTGACGTCACCATCACCACCTGCTGCTGTTACCGAATCTAGGCAATTACAAGGACTTGCAACACTTCCGCTGACGTCAACGTCAACCTTGCTGGCGTCAGCCTCTCCTTCAACCACGATTCCGCACTTGGAGTGCTCTAACTGATTCCTCTCCATCTTCTGCAGTCGCCTATATTAATCGTTGATTGAACAGCTGATTTGTCTTCGTCAGTGCTAAATCATGTGATTGCATACTCTCTTGGTATTCACTTCACTGCCAGTCTTAGGCAAACAGAACCAGCTTCAGATCCAGATTTGGCGACGACTCTTAGAGACGGCAGACCCTAAAATTCCAAGCCCGACGATAGTGCAAGCTTCCGCGACAAGGAGAGGAGACGCCAGATGAAACTCTCTCCCCCGGCTGCAAGTTACGAAATGGAGACGATAGAGAGCCTCTGAGCATAAGCATAGCTCGAGGCGCATCCTCCTCTACCAGCGAAAGCGGCTCTCACGAATCATTCAATCACGGCTCGGCGCGCTGGATTCACAACTCCCTTGAGAACCCAACCCCGAGCACACACGCACAGCTCATCTTTTCCTGTTCTCTCTCCAGCGAATCGTATTGGGCTCGTATTGCCTCCTGTGAATTTCTCGCTCGCCAGGCACAACCATTCTAATCATGCTTCAGTTAGGCCTCTTCTCGATCATATTTCAAACCTAGATTGGTTCAGACTTGACGAGCTCAAGACACGTGGCACGGAAAGTCGAGCCTGGATGAGAATTGTAGTGATAAGCTTCCAACTACACTCACCTGTCAGAAGCGTAACAGGGTGTTGGTGGTGGCATCCAATCGCAGCGGGCCCAGCTGTCCCTTCAGTTCAGATTCGGCCACCTTGGCGCTTGTTTCTGTGACGTGACTCGAATCTCGTTTCGGCGAAGCCACAAGCCAAGGGCAAAACGCCTGGGGTGGGTCAAGGAAACGCATGGTGCTTCGGCGCTGATCCATGACAAAAGCGCGCAGCGGTGACGCGCTAATCGATGTTCCAGACGCAGGTTTTCAGCTGTCAGCGAAGAGGAGCGAGTGCGACTCGTTATGCTGAGGTGGTTCTGTACGGACGGGTGACGACGGTGACCCGGCTGCTGACGTTAGCAGGGGGTTTGCCGCACATGCAGGGGGGCCACAGTTGCCCCCCCCACCATGTCATTAGCGCGCTCTGGGGTGTCACTACGAGGTAGATTAGGTGGCGTACAGGTTAGCAGAAAAGGGTAGCTTTGTGTTGGAGCAAAAATTCGACACAACAGTTTCCGATATTACCAAATCCACACTGCACCATGTATTCCACAGAAACAACTTAGGATGGTTATACTCCGCCCAGCCTACGGAACTGTTACCACATCCATGTCAGATTCCCTGCGCAGATGTTGCTGCCTACAAGGTTCCGCCTTAGCAGCCTCAGTTAGCAAATAAGTAGCAACCCTAACCCTAAGATTTTCCCTCAGAAACCATGTGACACTTGCAGCAGAGCACAACGAGAATCAAAGAGCCTGTGATCTCAACCTATCATTGTCTCCTCCACTACGCCTGCCCTAGGGTTTCAGTACTTTGGCTGCGCGGGCTGCTGCTGTTGGCACACACAAAAACCGATTCCCCGGCTTTAAAGCATAGCCCTTGTCGCACACGCACGAAAACCGCCACCGAACCTTCCCACCCACTAGCGTAGGTCGACACGTCCCATACCCCCCACACGGTCCCGATTTCCCATTCGCACCGCAGAAAGCCGCGCACGAAGCTGACCTGCGTTGCGATGTAACCTTGCAACCAGGCACTTGCGAAAGGCAGTTAAGAGCTACGGTGAGGGAACTCAGTTTGCCGTCTGGACGCGTCCGCCCTTCCACGGGGCAGACTTGTTTTCCCCCCACCCGTATCTCCGGTCTGCCCGAGAAGAAATTGCCACGTGCGTCGAGCCATATTGGCGAACCAAAATTGGGCAAACTGCCCGCAAAGAAGTTTTCTGAGATGTTCAATGCGAGCATGAAGAGCCCATTGAACGAATTCTCCGGGATTCTGCCAGAAAGCATGTTGTTCCGGACGTCCAACCAGAGTAGCGCCGGCGCGCCTCGAACAGCAGTCCACGGAAAGCTCCCTGAAAGCTTGTTAAAAGACAGGTCGAGTCCCATAAGCTTCGGCTGATTGGCTAGCAGAAACGCGGGAACAGATCCTGTTAGCCTGTTTCCCGCCAGATTCAGGAATTATATGTTTTCCATACGCCCGAGGGTTGCGAGGATTCGCCGAGCAACCTTGTTATTGCTCAGGTCGATGTCTCTCAGCCTAGGGTGGTTCGCGAGAGGTGCTAGCGAAGTAACGATGAACCCGTTACGCCTGAGCGAAAGGCCGTTCAGCTTCGGGAGTCGCAGAAGTGTGCTCAGGGGAAGCGGACCCCCCAAACAGTTAGCCCCAGCCGCCAGTATCACTAATGGGTGCTTCGGCGCTGATCTATGACAAAAGCGCGCAGCCGTGATGCGCTAATCGATGTTCCAGACGCAGGTTAACAGCTGCCAGCGAAGTAGGAGCGAGTGCGACTCGTTAAGCTGAGGTGGTTCTGTACGGACAGGTGACGACGGTGACCCAGCTGCTGACGTTAGCAGGGGGTTAGCTGCACATGCAGGTGGCCCACAGCTGTCCCCCATGTCATTGGCGCGCTCTGGGTTGTCAGTGCGAGGCAGATAAGGTGGCACACAGGTAGGCAGAAAGAGGTGGCAATCGCATATGAACCGAAAATTCGACACAACTGTTTCCGATATGAGCAAAGGCACACTGCACTAAGTATTTCACATAAATAGCAGTATGATGGTTATACTTCGCAGCCTACAGAACTGGTCCCACAACCATGTGGTATTTCCTTCCCGTACTAGGTTCCACCTTCGCTATCTCGGCTAGCAAACAAGCTCCAACATGTGTAAAACCGAACCCCATAAAAATATATTTCTCCACGTAGCCATTGGATCCAGCCATGTCTCCTCCAGCAATGTCTCCTTCAGCAAAGCAGAACGAGGTGTCAAAAGCCTGTGAAAATCGACAACCTTTCATTGTCACCTCCTCCCCTGCGCTTGTCCGTGAGCGCCACTGCTGCTGTTGGCACACACAAGAACCGATTCCCCGGCTTCAAACCGTAACCCTTGTCGCACACGCACGAAAACCGCCACCGAACCTTCCCAACCACTATTGTAGGCCGACACGTGCCATGCCCCCCACACGCTCCGAGTTTGCCATTCGCACCGCAGAAAGCCGCGCATGAAGCCGGCCTGCGTTGCGATGGTCTAACGTTGCAATAAGGCACCGGCGAAAGGCTGTTACGAGCTACGGTGAAATAGCTCAGTCCATCCGGGCCCTGGTGGGTTGGTTTGTCAGAACATATCTATAGCTTATACTATTGTGTAGGCTGTAGTGGGGTATCCCATAGGGGGTACAACCCAGTTAGGGTTTCATATTTGTACTGCCTTCTTTCATAGTTCACACATCTCTGTTCACTTGTTTCACATGGTATAGAGCGGGTCCTTCCTAAGGACCGTTTTTTTAGGGCCCACCGAAGCGCGCCCCGAGGCGCGCATTTTTTTTAGCGACCCCTCGGGTCGCCATTTCCCTCGCGGCCCCGCTGCCCCTCCTGATCGCGGCCCCGCCGCCTGCTTGACGCGGCCCCGCCGCCTCCACTGACGCGGCCCCGCCGCCGGCTCTGACGCGGCCCTGCCGCCCGCTACGTCGCGGCCCCGCCGCCTGCTTGACGCGGCCCCGCCGCCTTCACTGACGCGGCCCCGCCGCCGGCTCTGACGCGGCCCTGCCGGCCCGCCGCTGCACCTGACGGCCCCGCCGCTGCACCTGCCGGCCCGCCGCTGCACCCTACGGCCCGCCGCTGCACCCTACGGCCCGCCGCCTCACCTGACGGCCCCGCAGCTGCGCCTGCCGGCCCGCCGCTACACCCTACGGCCCGCCGCTGCACCCAGCGGCCCGCCGCTTCACCTGACGGCCCAGCCGCTGCACCTGCCGGCCCGCCGCTGCACCCTACGGCCCGCCGCTGCACCCAGCGGCCCGCCGCTTCACCTGACGGCCCCGCCGCTGCACCTACCGGCCCGCCGCTGCACCCTACGGCCCCGCCGCTGCACCTGCCAGCCCGCCGCTGCACCGGTCGACCCGCCGCTGCACCTGCCGGCCCGCCG